AAATGTTGTAAAATGCGGAAAATATAGCCTTGCGAAGTTTGAAATTTTCAGTCATTTTAGATTACAAACCGGAAATTGACAGCCTCGAAGGGTTTGGGGCTGTCAATTTCCCGTTTGTAATCTAAACTGACTGAAAATTGCAAATTTCGCAAGGCTATATTTCCGCATTTTACAACATTTTGCAACGAAACTTTGGAATATTACTAATTTTGTGATGCTCCTTCAAGCTGTGATGAAATTTTTGTCTAGACTTGTTTAGTTCAAAATTTAGTCTATTACGCAAATGGTCAATTGCATTATAAATTTATATGTTTTTAATTTTTGAAATATCATAAGTACTATACCATTGTTGATTGTCGGCGAGGATCCAAAAAATATATGCTGCTGTTAATCATGATTTTAACATGCATGAGCTCGACAACTGGACTCGGTTGGTTAGAGCGCTGCACTGGAATCGCAGAGCTGCAGGTTCGACTTTTACCATGTGTCCTATTCGCAGCTGTTCCTGGTTAGGTCTTAATAAATGTACACAATTTACACTCAAAATTTCCATCTACAAAATATTTTTGCTCTGTGAATTATATGCCAATGCGGACGATATCTTCCCGCCATATTGCCGATGGGTTTTCTTATTTTCCCGCCAAATCCCTTACACCCAACAACCGATAGCTTAAGTATTCAGCTTCGGAAGATAACGGAAACATTGGCTGCGATCGGATAATTCTTGATATTATTTGAAAATACTGTTTCAAACCAGTTGGTGGAGCAATATTTTTAACCCTGTCTTAAGCTAACTGCGACTAGGGACAACAAAATTAAAATTACTTTGTCTTGTCCTTGATTGATTTCGTCTCCGTTTCATGCATGCAAATGTGACTATAGCTTCTTGTGGCTAGATTTAATTAAACATTAGCGTTATTATTTTTTTATTGATGTTTATAGCATAAATTAAGATTGGCGTCTCATGCAGTGTGAGAAGTTGTTAGTTTTGACTTAAATATGTCTACATAATTATTGAAAATTCACGTATTTATTTTGGCACGATTTCACAATCGTGTAATATTCACTAAGTAATAAGGAAATATATAACGACAAACTGGAATATGATTCAAGATTTTCAGTTTTTCCTCATAAAGGCGTTCATATTCGTGTTATGTATAGAATGGCATTCTTCAAGTTGTACTGCAGCTCCGTGCTACGATTTTCTCACTAGAGAGTCACGACCTTGTTTCCCCCAGCCTGTGAACGCGGCGAGAAGACGCAACGTAACAGCTTCGAATACGTGCGGCATGCCGAGCGCAAGTTATTGTGAAATCTCACCCGAGAAGAAATGCTTCATTTGTGATGCAAACAGCTCTCTTAACATGCACCCTCCTGAATACATGGTATGTATTACTTGTACGAATATAAAGTTAAAGATTTTTAAACTTCACCATATTTAACTGTACAAATAAAGAAGGTTCTATCATAAATATTTATTGGGATGGGCCGATTTATGCCGTTCAAACTTCCAAGCTTTCTCGTTGTCAGGCAAACGATACGAACGAATCAAACCATGAAGACACTTTATTGTAAAAGACAACATACGCTGATTAAATCTTATATACTAGATAAAATTATATATTTACGCTTAAATTTTCCACACGCAAAAATATTTTCGATAAGCGAGCCAAAATGCAAAGTGTTCAGCAAAGCACTGGGTCTCTAAATATTTTTTTCGCATTAGCCCCTAAAATTGTATGTAGGTTTTCGCTTTATAAAATTCCAAGCAATAAATCCTAGCTCTCTAGTCATACCGGCCATGGAGGTTGTATTAATTGCAGTGAAATTATCTTTTGAATAACGCTGAAAAATGCTGAAAGCCTGAGACATGAAAAGCTTTGGGAAATATATATTTGGGATTTTTCCATGCACAGAAAAGAATCGGAGATCGTTACTGAAATGTAACATCCCTTCAGTAATTCACCATTTTTCAAAATGTATAGGATAGTTGCATTATATCTGATACCTGGACAGATATTGATATTTTTACGCACAGGTCGTGTTCAAACATTCAGTTTGTTTGTTCGTTAATCACTATTATAGGGTTAACTAATTAATGACTTAATCAGCCCGTGTCAAGCGCGGGCTTATATTTGGGGTATATTGTCTACAATTTCCACGTCAGAGAATCTATAGACAGTCTAAACAAAGTGAAAAGCGACTTTTAAAATTTGCAATTATAACTCGCCTTTTGCGGTGTCGGCGTGAGGCAATACCCTAAAATTGGCGAATGAATCCACAGTGAGCCGCGAGAAAGGCTAATTGGCTTAAATTAGATTAGGGTACGCCGTTACATTTTGATTTAGCCACAAAATAAGCCGCGGCAAAACCATTTAACTCCTGTCACAGGCATACAGCAGGAATCTCGACTTTGGCGACCTGATATACAGTAAACAGGCGTCTATATAAAACGAACTTGGTCATGGAAAAAATTATAGTCGAAGTAGAAAAGAGTTTATAGCAATATCTTTCTGTTGCTCTTTTACAATTTTGTACGCCTTTTGTTGGCTTCATTAGGTGAATATTTTGTAAGATAATATTAGAGGACAGAGTGCTTAACCCGGTCTTGCAAGTGGGCCGCTTTTTGCTGGTGGCAATTTTCCCGCCAAGATATTAACTTAAATTTTGAATTCAAAATGAACGCTCTAAATTGATTGAAAACAGTCTGTGTCAAAATGGAAAAAGCTTCTAAATGCGAATCGTCGACTTAATTATTTAATCACATGCATAGTTTAGACGCACGGTACGATATATAATATTATACTTTTCGAGATACAACATTATGACTAGGTTATGGTTTTACTTCACATGCATGGAAGGAATGTTTACAAAACAATAAGCAGGTAATGCTACAATAAAATCTAATACAAACTACAGTTTTCAACACTGAAAGACATAGATAGGTCGTATGTCAGCTCACAACTGCGTCGAATGACTCTCTCCATTGTATTATCATTGTCGCAACTTTTAATTAGTTATGTTTTATTTTGCGCTGCGTCTCGCGGGCGCGCAAATTCATTAATACAAACAAATGAAAATCTGCCATCCTTCACGTTATAATTATAAAGTATGAAGATTTGCATAAACACGCTCCCACCCTATATTTGACCCTCAAACTCAGGCAAGACTAAAGGCCCGGTCACACTACACAACGATAACGATACGATAAATTGTAAACACGCGATAATTGGCAAAAAAATTGTGTTAGTGTCCACACAACAACGAAAATGATAAAATTATCGTTTGACGATAACGATAACGATTTTAAAATCGCTCACCTGAGCGATTTTTTTTTCAGTTGGACGATAACGATAAATTTTTGACCAATCAGCGCGCGTATACAAGTTATCGTATCGTTATCGTTGTGTAGTGTGACCTGGGCTTAAAGAGGGAAGAGCCGGGAAACAAGGTTGGCAGAGACATTGTTATTTCACTACATGAAGTACTACATGACTTATATGCATTATTTTCAAAATGGCAGACAAGCAAAATAAATTTGGAGTGAAAAAGCTGTTATTTGCATCTTCTCGTGTTTTTTGATGATGTGATTGCAAAAACTGCACAGTTTAAAGTTTATTTCGCCAAACGGAGAAAGACTTTAATAATTCCAAGTAAACTTTGTTAGTTAGTAAAATCAAGCATTGTACATTCGTACGGCAACATGAAACCTAGACGACCTGGTCCTAGACGTGTGGAACGTGACTTAATACAGTCTTAGTAAATTATAGTATCTTTTGTCTCGCTTGAAAAGCTGTACGGTTTGGCCAAAATGACGGACATTTGGGTCCCGGCCATATTTCAAACAGGAATATTATATAATTCAATTAGGAATTGGGGAAAATGGTTAAAGAAGAGTACTTTTTTATAATTTTATATAATTTCAACAAGGAATGAGGGGAAATAGTTTAAGAATTAAGAACAGTACTTTTAAGGCCGAATATTTGCAAATGATTTTTTATTTAGATTGGAGGTGTGTATTCGTCAGTAAAATATTTTATTATTTTGGATGTGTGCACTGTGGTTGTTGTATCTTATTCTTGTTGCTTTCGGCGGAATCGGAGCATATCATATCTGATAATTCCTATATATATTCATTCCCATTTTCTAATATCCTGCGATCAATATATTTCCAAATTTGTAGCATTTCTAGCCATGAAATCGGTTTGCTGACGTCCTGTGAAAATTTTCATTCTGTTCGTAATTTTGAATGCGCATAATTTCGAATGCGCTGGATATTTCTACTCGCCGGCGAGTCATTAGTGGCACAGACTCCCCAAAAATAATTGGTCTTCCAACGCCCCAGGGATGTAGCCAGCCCCTAATGAGTGGGAAGGGGGGGGGGTTCTAATCGTCTGGCAATCCAGGGAGATAATCCCCTGTGAAATGTTTCTATTCTCTGGGGTCTGTGAACACGTTTTACGGTGATCGGGAAGCCACAGATTTGGTATAATTTATGTCATAGATGTAAACATTAAGAGGTTGCTTGCCCAGTTTCTCCTCAGTTTTGAAATCCGGCAATTACAAAACTGGTCCTGAAGAAAAGTGTGGGGTCCGCCCCCTTCCATTCACCCTCGTGGATAGACCTCTGCAACGTCCCTGATAATAAACTTAAACTGTCTGCCTTAAATAGTTGCACACCAAGTCTGATAAATATTTTCTAGAAATGGCGGATCCCTAGAAATGGACGCAAAAGGTTCGAGCAACAATTGCGGCAGTCAATTGATATTCTATTTTTTGCCCAATGCAGATTGATGAAGAATCTCCATTTGCCTCGCAGCCAACTTGGTGGCAATCTGATACTTGGTGGGATGCGATTCAGAGTGGACTATCGAAGATTGCTGAACCACTTCATGTTAATATTACCCTCACATTTGGCAAGTCATACCACGTATCTGGCAAGATTAGGGTTACGTTTTACTCGGAACGACCACAGGCAATGGTTATTGAAAGATCAAATGATGGTGGCATAACTTGGAAGGTTTACCAGTATTTTGCTGAAGATTGCGTTTCAACGTACGGAATAAGCCCAAGTGAATCACCTTCGACAGAAAATCCATTAGAGGTAATGATTGTAATATTTTCATATTTGTTTGCAACGATGAAGATCTGCGCTTGAAAATTAGAATTTTTCGACATAGACCACAACGTTATTTTTTGTGAAAACAAACCCCATAAAACAATTATAATTTTAGAAGATACAATCATGGACAAAATCACTCGGACAAACACATTAAATACAAAGAGTGTTGCACAATTTCTAAATATCCTCCGAAAATCCGTCCCCTTCCCTGGTACAATGGTGGTGAACGCTCGAGGCATGACTATAACTTTGTTGGCAGCAACCGGGATGCAACCAGTTTGTAGATGAAAGCATCCATAATATGTAATCGTCAGCCATGAAGAAACAGCGTCCGAGTGCTTTTTTCCCTGGATTGTAGTGGAGTCATTATTGTAACAAAATGAAAATCGTAATCATAAAACGATCTATTCCTAAAACGTTTTTTCATTAACTTACTGCTTCAGTTGCATGCCAAACCAGTGTTCCAAACCAGTGTTCACCAGATAAGGAGGAATTAACAGTTCATGACTGATAGAGCTATGCAGTATACAACTATTTCAATTAAGGTTGTCCCCCAAGCAAAGCGGAAAAGTCGAATACTAGCGCGAAAGGCTGCTGGGAATCGCTAATAAATTCATGAATTTATTAGCGATTCCCAGCAGCCTTTCGCGCCCGTATTCGACTTTTCCGCTTTGCTCGGGGGACAACCTTAATTGAAATAGCTGTATACAAATGAACTTAGTTTAGTTTTTTTCCTCCAGTAACACAAGATTATTTTTCGGATTTAAATCAAACTGAATTGATGTTTAGCCCTTATAAATGACGTTGAGACAAATAATTCGAGGTCATATTGTTCGACGTCCACCATTTTTGGTGGAAAATGTCTTAAGCTGCATAAAAATCACTCACTGCATGTGTGTCATACGAATTCAAAAAGGCAATTTTCTGGCAAATTCAGACAGGGTTTTTTTTTCTTTTGCCGCTCATAATCCCATAAGTTTTAGGGTGACGTAATATTCTCGCGTGACAGCAAGACCTGCATGATAGCGTTCGGGTAGGTATATTCAGAAAAAGTTACATTACATTTATTAAATTATTATTCAGCTCACTCCCTATATTATATTGGGGGGTTTTCAGTGACCGATTATATCAAGTATTACGCTTACTTATGTTACTAATTACTTAGCCTAGACTATTTATCTTTGCAACAATTGTGATTACTTTCTGAACTGTGTTTATCCTAATCCACCCTGTCAACCGCCCGGGCAGAGCCAGAGGCAGAGCGTTGACAGACTGTTTTCACATGAGTCCGTAGCGAGAATCAAACTCACGATCTCAGAGGTGATGGACGCTTGCTCTGACGAAGCCCCATAAAGTTAATTCAGTTTATTCATTTTATGACTTTTACCTCAAGGTAACATGTAGTGAAGAGTACAACGGGCAATTTCCAGAAAAGAATGGAATTGTGGAATTCCAGGCGTACACACGCTATTCACCAGAGGACTACATGGCTCCCCATATTCAGAGCTACATGTTGGCCACACATGTTAGGCTACGCTTGGAATATCCCGGTACGGATGGACTCGAACTAATTAATTCTGAAGTCACCTTAAATCGCTACTATTATGCAATCTCGGACGTTCGTATAGACGGACGCTGTAATTGCCATGGTCATGCAGAGTATTGCGATGGTGTGGGAATGAATCAGTACTGCTTTTGTGAACATTATACGATGGGACGAGATTGTGAATATTGTAGGCCGCTGTATAACAATGATCCCTGGAAACCTGCCAATACAACCCATGCTAACGAATGTCAAAGTAAGTGAAAAAATGGATTATCACATACTTGCACCTTTATCAGGTAGGAAGCAGCGGGACATAAAAACGATATCGTCCCGGATATCGTTTTTGTCCCGCATATCGTTTTTTGTCCCGCTAAATTTCGCTTGTCAAAACAAAGATGGCCGACTCGAGGTTCGTGTTGGTTGATGTCGACAGTTTATCAAAGAAAACAAGAACGATAATACAAAACGAAAGACTTAAATTGTATATTATTTATATGAATGGTCTATTTATTTTCTAAAATCATATTTGTTCAGTAAATGATGAATTGTTTTGAATTCTAAAATATTTACTTTTGGGTGTCAAACCCTGATAAAGGTACAAGTATATAATAAATAGGTTATCGTACTCGGGATTCGGTGATATCAGTTTTATCGCTCTCGGGACGATATCACAATTGTGATATCATCCCTCGAGCGATAAAACTGATATCACCTCATCCCTTATATGATAACCTATATATATAACTATCTATTACAGATGCTCTCATCATAATGAAGCCAAGTGTGTCCAGCCTAGACCTAGGGTCTTCTACTTATATTTCAGCGCTTTTTCATATGAGAAGATCGGAACCTAGGCAATTTCCTCAAAGTTATTTAAAATTCAATATTTCCAACTACAGCTGTCTTTATAAAAGATACAATATGGTGCTTGTGTGATGTTACTCTGAGTGTATATCCACACCGGGCAGACTTGAAAAATATGCCTGGCCACGGTGGGAATCGAACCTATGACCTTTGGAATACTAGCCCAAATTACAGCAAATATCATGATATAATATGGGTTTCCCATTCCAGTTCCTGTAACCAAAATCCCATTTTCCCAGTCCAAGAATAGATTCCCATTTTACCCCTTCCAAGATCCTCTATCGGCTGCATGTAATCTAAAAACTATTATTTTCGGATGAACTTTCTCAATTCATCACATTGCGAGCTAACATCTAGCTAACAGTTGATCTATGTTTTTCTCCCAGAGTGCCACTGCAACGAGCACGCGTCGTCCTGTACTTACGACGCCAATGTTGGAAGCGGTGTGTGTATTGATTGCAATCATAACACCACCGGAGTACAATGTCATGAATGTGCTGATGGATTTTACAAAGACATTGGGAAATCACTTGACGATCCTCATGTTTGCATACGTACGTAGAGTAACTCTGTTCACATGATGCAATGTCTGAATAAGAGGTCCTTCTATCATTTATCATAATTTATTTCTATCCTTTAATTCCTCGTCATCTTCTTGATTTTCAGGCCTCTATTATTTTACCTTTGTTTGTGTGCCGTTCCACTTTTCTTTTTCCTCCTGAAATTTCTGTGTTTCTAATTATTCTCAAAAGGATGATTTTATTTCTTCTGTATGCGTATTTCGTATCAACATAAATGTCATCTCGCCTTCTTCAATACATTTTACCTCGGCCATCATGCATTCAGTCATTTGTATTTTTCTCAATATCAAAGATATTCCCTAAACTGAATGTCAAAGTATAGTAATTTTAAAAGTACTGTAGTTATTTTGTGCCAGAGACTAGATTTAAAAATCTAGTACTACTGTTCTTTATACTGCATTTTACCTTGAGCTTAACTGATATGTTGTTTGTGTGTATGCTATTATGTTCAAGGCAGAATTGTCAAAACGCACAATGCAAATTTGTATAAGAGCTAACTGCTTGTCTAAAACATCATTAACCACAAAACCTTTGCAAATAATTATGATCAGTGTTTTCGTAAGTTGTCACATGTGTACGTATGTATTTATATAAGACCTTTACTTCGATAGGGTAATCTCGTAAGACAACAATATCTGCTATCAAAGAGGGTTCTATATAAAAAAATAATTACAGTGCTTATTCTATACATTAATATCAATCTGGTAACAAGAACGAAATTATCTACAGTATATGCATGCTAATGCACTAAAATCATTAAAAACTAACTTAGTACTGTAATTATAGTTACTCTGTCGAGCTGTTCTTTTTACAACGTCATAATTATGATTATATTCTCTAAATTTTCCCATTGTAATTTTTCCAATGCATCTTCACTACTGCCCAGTTTCATCACAATCCTTACTCCCCGAGGTTGCAATTTTTCAAGTTTTTCTTTATCCTCCACATTGCAACAACCCCATATTGAAGATGGGTTAAGTCTGTTTTCCATTTCAACCGCATCGTAATAGTATCGTAACGTAGCGTTTTCTTTTGTGTCGAAGTCATTAGTTCCATTCTAGTACTCAGGGAACTCGAGTTTGACTAATTTGACTTAATATCTTTCCATTTTGCAGCTTGTGACTGTTTTTCGGTTGGTATTACTGATAATGGTTATTGCAATAAAAATACGAGTAGAACAGATATCATTCTTGGTCAGTGCAATTGCAAAGACAATGTATTTGGACGACAGTGTGATGAATGTGTTCCAGGATACTGGGGATTCAGATTGCCCCCTGGCGGACACTGTCAAGGTAACGATAAGCTCTATCACTCTTCAAGGCCAATAAATAGACTCGAGGGTATTAGCTTCAGTTTTGCAATTGATGTTTTAAGAAGTGTCAAATTCCTGTTGTCGATGCCGACAATGTCTTAAAAATTGCAATATATTTTGTAATCATTGTTGGCCTGATGTCAATGATAAGCACATTTAAATAATAATTGGTCTTTTCGATAATTACAATATGCAAAAAAAATTTTGATGGCAACCAGTGCTGGTACGAAGTGTTAAAAAAAATTACGCTTAGAAAATCGTTTTTATCACACAGACTAGCAGCGCAAACTATTTTGCCATCTGTCTCATCAAATTACGAACAGCTGAATATATTAATACGTTCGCCCGTATTCTAAAAGCTCACACGCACTCATACTCAATGAGTGGAGGTTCAATCTGAGCTTCTTTTGAGTGTGAATGCTGTTTTTGAATAGCTGGAGGGTTAGTGTCGTACCTTACTATGTGACTACTCACCCTCCAGCTATTCAAAAACAGCATTCACAGTCAAAAGATGCTCAAATTGAACCTCCACTCATTGAGTGTGAGTGCGAGTGATCTTTTAATGATTTTTCAAATCTTTGAAATATGAGCGAGTGATTTTTCAAATCTTTGAAATATGACAAAAGTAATTTCTACAATATTCAACAAACCTTTTACCATAATGTTGCCATCACTAAGTAATATTACTATCAGTAAAGGCGAAATGCTCAGCGCAAGAAAGTTTTACAACCAATTTAAACAAAAAGGTTAATACTTTCAGTATCTCACCTACAAGTTTAGTATTTCAGGGCTTTCAGAGCTCACTTTAAAATTCTAGAATTTTTCCAGGACTTTTCAGGACTAAAATAGAAGTTCAGAGCTTTCGTGGATTTTCGGTCGACGAACGAACCTTGTCATAGATAAATATTACAACAGTTTTATCTCCTTCTACGCAATATCAATACGGTATTTTCTGTACTTGATAGTAAAAACACATCTGCCTGTTGAGAAAAATGGATATTTTTTTCAAAAACTAATTTTGTGCGCAAATTTTAAACTTATGCATTTTAATTTTACCATCCTGTTCATTTTTTCGTAACCATTCAGCGTGCAGTTGCAACATGTTGGGGACATTGAATAACAGCCAAACGTGTGACCAACAAACCGGAAGCTGCTTTTGCAAACCATATATAGAAGGAGAAAAATGCAACGAATGTAAGGATGGCTTCTATCATTTCCCTACTGAACAAGAATCTGACTGTCTGAAATGCCCTTGTGATGTGGGAGGAGCATACGAAATATGTGAAAAGCAAACTGGTAAGTCACTAAGTCATTTGATTCCATGGCCTTTTTTAACTATATCATGCACTGGGGGGTGGGGAGTGCCCAACCCTCGGGAATCGTACTTTCCCCTCTTGTCACACTGAGTCTGCCCCTGGAAAAGTAGTGTTAACCATTGGTCTCAACTGCGTTTCGTTGACCCCCAATTTTCAAAATTTTCCTCGATTGACACCCTGCCCAAAACATAAAATCAATCTGATTTTGTGAGATCGCGATTTAAAGGATTAGTGTCAGGGTCATGCATTGCGGGCTTTTGTTATTGTTTACATTTTACTCAAATACAACTAAATAGCGATAAAAATACCTTGTTTGGTACATTTCTGATAAAAATCGGACAAAAAGAGCAAGAAATATAAAAGGATGGTCTAAATATATGACGGATTGTGACACTTTCCAGATCATCTAATCTACTCGTCCCGAAAAATGGCCGCCAGCAGGAGTTTGAGTCCGCGAATTCCTAGTGTGACACTAATCCTTTAAAGTCATAGTTAAAGTCACAGTAAAATAATTAGACTCTGGGCAAGCTTTTACAGCCCGAATTTTTGCTATTTAGAAGAAAAGTTTTTGCCTACGCCCCATCCCCCCCCCCCCCAAATGAAAATTCCCTAAAAAGGCACTATATGATTTTAATAACGGAAATGTGTAACTATTCAATCAATAGTTGCAACATAACGTAATTTTTTTCAATATATGAAAGTAAAATACAGCACTTCATGTAACCAAGCACCTCATTAAATTAAATATTTACTGCATGTCCTTGGCGTTCAAACACAGACGGCCCAATCTCTGAATGCTCTATATATTTTGACTATTTATACGGAATATTTATACGTTATAATACTTAACGAAATAATTAAAAAAACAACAACATATCAACAATATATGTAAAAAAATATATCTAACTTGTTAATAGAATGCATTTGTTGTGTTTCTGAGTCTAGTTGATGCGATTGCTTTACGTTTTCGTTGTACTTGAACGGTCGTCAATACTTCTGACACTGAACGGCACAGGGTAAAAGAACTAGAAGCCGAAGGCTGACCACTTTCACAGCCACAAATCTGGGAAAATCTCTATGACTCACGACCAGAAATTTCCCCCCCAAAAACTACGATATCATTGTATAGCTTCGTTGGCTCAGTCAAATATTTTCGCGCGTTTTTTGTATTCTTCATTTTGACTTATTTGCAACAAAATAAGGCTGTAAGTTTAAAGTGTTTATTATTTATATTCCTGAGTAATCTAAAGTTTTTGGATGTATAGCCTTTCCTTTACTCCAAAATTCTACCAATAAATCAGAAACTTTGCTGATTATATCATGAAATAATTTTGTAGTTCGCCTTATTACAGCAATTTTCGTCCAAGCACAAACCGCAAACATTTTCGCGCGTTTGTTTACGTTTGAAACGGGACGTTTACGGTTGGAAACTGAAATGTTTCACCGCTCATGTGACGTGTCACATTGAAAAGCCTTAAGCTATTTTTGGCGCAACTGTCATGTTTTGACGTGCTTCCGTGCACGTTTCAATATTTCCAAGCCCATGATAATACGTTTTAGTCACAAAAAGTATGAATATAAACAAGTTTGGTCGCTCTTACAATATCGTGAGCTTGGAAATACTGAAAAGTACACGAAAGCACATCAAAACATGAAAAATAACTGAATTAGGCTTTTTACTATAACACGTCACATGAGCAGTGAAACATTCCGTTTCCAACGGTAAACGCCACGTTTCAAACGTAAACAAACGCGCGAAAATGTTTGCGGTTTGTGCTTGGACGAAAATTGCTGTAATATTCATTACACGTCAACCATATACGCTCGAAAATGTTACAAACGGTACAGATAATCTAGCGATCTATTTTGTTGTTAAGACTTTATATCTTTCTTTAAATTGGCTTCCGAAAATTTTGTAAAAATCTTTAGGACGATGATGTGATGCATTATTATAAGCATTAGAACCTAGAAATTTCTAGCCTAGAAAAACCTTTTTGTTTTCTAGGACAATGTAACTGCAGACCAAACATCGAAGCCCAGTTGTGCACACAACCAAAACCTGGATTTTTTATTCCCCTCTTCGATTACCTCCTTTTCGAAGCCGAATTTCAGGATGAAAACGATGACATACACTACGAGATGGATCGTGAACTTGACCATCATACTGGACAAGGTTTTGCACTCATGGCACGAGATACAACAATCCACTTCACAAATGTTCAAGTAAAAATAACCTGGCGATACTATCTTGTTATCAGATATGCCGACAATCCTCAGTACTCCAACACTGCTTTTAATTTAACATTGAAAAGTAACGATGGATTAAGTATCACTATAGCATCATCCGAAAACCGTCTTCAAGTCGATGCAAGAACAGTTCTAACACAGGAAGCATTTTCATTAACGGCCAACCAACTTTATAACATTACCGTCAGTTCAAAAAGTTCCACAAGTGGTGCAGTAAATGGTTTATTGGTGGATTCCCTAGTTCTCAAGCCTGAGTTAACTCCCACTAGAATTCACGACGAAGTCGATACAGTCGCAACTTTATTACGTTGTTTCACCAATGCAACATATCTTACTAGTACTGGCGCTATTGATTCCAGTTGTTCTGATGTGGTATTTTCTTTCAGTGCTGAAATGTATGATGGTGCTTTAGGTGAGATTCAAATCCATGTCATCATTCAAATACATTAAAATGAATGTTAATACACTCTTCCAAAACGTACGTCATTTTCGCTATAGAGCCTCGTTTTCGTGTACGTGACATTAGGTAAAGCCTAATATCTCGATCATGAAAAAGAGGCTCTACAGTCAAGGTGACGTAGATTCCGGAAGTGTGTATTAAGCTTATCAATCTAAATAATAATTGATCTTGAAAATTCAAAGAAAATTAATGCGTAATCAATGTCTGTAAGTCCGACACAAATTTTGCCTTGATTAACATATTAACCTCTCTGTATCTTTAAAACAGTCGATAAACATGACATTCCTATGTATGTACCTGAAGAGTATGATAATTTGGCTCGTACTTGTACTGACAGTAAATATCATACAGATCAATCCCTCATTATTTTGAAAATCATAAGTTGAGAATAAACCTTACTATTGGTGAAGTCCTTTCCTATAAATTTGGTAATTTATATAATTGCGTCCTATAGCCATTCAAGTCTTCTCGCGTAAGATCTGTAGTCCTATTGTCCCAAGCCGTTTAACCTCTCCATTTAGCAAAGTTCCCAAGCAAGGGCACGAGGCATAATTAAATGAATCTAGATTGGCTAGCATTATGTTGCTTGCTTTCCTTAGAGATTCAGCAACAACCATCTTTTTAGAAAATTTCTGGTGTTTGATAGAGTCGAGCAGGAAGCAAACTTCTCATATACGACTAAAGCAAAATTTTAATATAAAACTGCCTGATGCAGGTACCAAACCTCCTTTGCAGAACCAGAGGTGGAATCTCATGGGCTAGAGTATCGGTCACTGAAAAGCCCCTTTGGGGAGTGAGATAAATAATATATATGTATCACTACTACGGAATTATTGCTAATAAACACCCACTAACCCAGCAGGAGGTTCAATAACATCTAAAAGAAAGGGCGAATGTAGTGCCGGGCGAATGTAGTGCCACCAACGCCTCAGCAGTGGAGCTTGGTACGTCTAGATACGAGATGCATGACGGTTGACCACCATACGTTTTTGTACACATGAGCTTGCTCACACCATAGCCTATCGAAGGGAGGATTGCTGTGAGACTCAGTAGAATAATAATGTAACTCATTATCTATGTTAGTCAACGTTTACTCATAAATCCGGCCCTTCGCCGTAACGTGTGTATTGTATTTTGCCCAACTAACCAATAGCAATGTTTTAGGAAAGTTACCCATGTGTGACTCGAACATTAGTGAAATTGAAAATTGCTCTTCCAAGGTGGAATAGGCAAAATACACACGTGACTTTGAAGGACCATGCAGATTTATGAATAAACGTTGACTAACATAGATAATGAGTTATGTTGTTATTCTAACGAGTTTCACAGCCATCTTCCCTTCGATAGAATATATGCATGCTCATGCACACCAAGCGCATATTGTATAATACGGTCACATCAGATCTGCTCTTTCGCAGCATTGTTACTAGCAGACATCAATTGACTTCATAGAGTGCCCAACAACATCTAAGTGAAGGAACGTGATATTTTTCATTTTTTGTTATCATTATGTAGCGTGCGACTGTGATCCCAAAGGATCTAGGGAAAGTAGTCAATGTAGCCCAATTGGAGGCCATTGTGATTGTTATGCTGGTGTTGGTGGTCGAAGATGCTCTTATTGTTTGCCCAAATATCATGGATTTGGTCAAGGAAATTGCAAAGGTGATAAACTTTAAAAATATTACGTCATGCTGGTATACTATACGTCAATCTTTGATATCCATGATTTTGGACTGCATAGCTAATGATGGCGCTATGGAACGCCGAGGAAATCACTGTCTGAAATTTGTACTTCGATGTTAAAAAATTACCTGAAGTGTAATAATTGTAATAGACCTCTCTCTCAAAGTTGTTACAAAAACGGTGGGCCTGGGGTTAAGAGAATTTTTGCATCTGCATTGCTGGCGTTTTCTGAGGCGAATTTGCAAACTAATTGCGACCAACAAGCCAGCCAGGATTAGTTAGATCTTACCTTGCCCTAGCAAGGTGGAGTGGAATCGCAATCAAATATGGAATCAAATATGGAATCGCAATCAAATATTTTTTCCAGCTGTTCCTGGTTACGTCTAATAAAAAAATGTATATAAATTTCCACTCAATAATTTCCATCAACAACACCCTACAAGTTCTACAACTGAGTATGCTGAAGCCTACATGCCTGGGCTTTCAAGAGGGCCGTAATTTTCAGATAATGCACTTTTTATTTATAGAATTATTATTTTTTGTCCTTAATTAAGCAATGAGGCATTGATATAGCAGCTAATCCAAAAATTATAAGTTCCTTGGTTTTCATGAGTGTTGACATTCACCGTAACGCCTGCACGCTATTTAATTGCACAATGTTCAGCACTTATGAAGTTCTGTCATAATTAGAGGATATTTCCGCTGACCTTCTCAATAAAAATAAAGGAAAGGGAGGAGGGCAAACGTAAAAGAAGAGACTGAATTTAAGTCCAAATTCCAAAGATCCAGAAATTTATGAGCCGTGTTGCATGTACACGTTCGTTATCGGCTAAATCAGCTGAACTTTCGTGGGAATATCATCCTCAAGGCCCGCGTATTTTACCTAGGTACAGGCCCCGTAACTGGCAATCCGCCACTGATTTTGATCCATAATAGCATTGAATAGCTTATTCCGAAAATACAACCAAAAACATATTAACAATGCAACGTCGTAATATCAACGTACAGTTTGCATTTTTCATTGCTGGTTAGGTCTCAAAATTGTATACAATCTCCCGTTCCATCTACAAAAACCCTTCAATTATTATCTTCTTTCCAACTAAAGTGCCCTCTCGTTGGAAAGTTTTGATGATTTATTGCACTGACTGTCTTCAGTCTCTCACTGATTTTGAATCTTTAGTTTGTGAATGTGACAGTGCTGGATCGGAAAGCAGTGTCTGTGATATAACGTCTGGAGTTTGTCAATGCAAGATAAATACCGAAGGTGACATGTGTAGCAGGTGCAAGGCTGGAACATTCAATTTGGATGCCAGGAACCAACAAGGCTGTCAATCATGTTTTGGTTATGGCCATGGTACACAGTGCATTTCAGCTCGAGGATTCGTTGCCGCCAACATCACTACATTTTTCACTGGTATGTGGTGGTAGATCAGTGGATTCACTGGAAAAGTCGAATCATTTCCATACTTTGGTTTTCTAGGTTTTCTTTAAAAAATTTCCCCGGTTTTCCTGGAAGGTAGGGGCGTCTTGAGAATAAAGGTCTTGGTATTTATCACCCACTGCCCCCCCCCTCCCATTATTAATGACCGGTCCCAAATTTAGTCTATGTACTGTAGGTACATTTGTAAACCTGAAAGTGTCTTGGTATAAAACATGACAACGAAATATTGTAGCCAGTCATATTTTTAAGCTTTTAAATGAATACCCTTTTAGTAGACTGTGCTTTATGTTCGTAACATGAATTATTGCACGTGACGTGAGTTATTCCACCTTGTCATACAATCTATTTTCAACCAATATAATTAAGCTTATTTATCCTGTGAATTCAGTCCCTTAAATGTGGTTTCCGTAAATGCAGGTTCTACCCTGGGTGCATGGTTAGCTACGCCAAATAGTGCTGGTGCGATGGCAACCGCTGGCGCAGATGGCTTGCTCATTCGCGGTAATCTCACACTCATGGCTCCACCGTCGTATTTGGGCTTGCAACTAAACTCGTACAAACAAAAGTTGTTGATCACAGTAAGTTTAATTAAACTTGTTTGCAACTATTTTTTTACATGTGACTTATACTCTTACATGGATGTACGTGGCAGGTGTAATAACTTTTAAAGGGCGTGGCTTGTGGGTGTTGTGATAAGTTGGCCACTCAGTTAGTTGTACATTGTTTTGTGATTACACACTTTTCTTTACTTGGCGACAATATATGCAACGCTTGAGACAGTTTATAACGACATTTACAATCGTTTGTGATGGCATGTGGGCGTATTGCAGCTTTGAGACCAGTATTTAAACTGAGTGAATGGAATTTAATATAGAGTGCTCTAAGCAACAAGAGAAAGTTAGGTGTGCGAGAATTAGCGGGGTAAAGTATTCGTGAATTTTCAGTAATTATAGGTTTGAAATGAAAGCAGACACATCGTTGTCAGTGTGAATGTGGTCATAGGAATAGTGTAGATTTAAAATGTGTTGCACGTACGTTCCAGAGTTTGATGATGTCCTATCGCCCTTTTTGTAGAGCTAAACAGCCAGTGAGCTCCATATATATCTGGAGCGAGAACTCCAGTCCAAAAAGCGAAACAAGCTTCGTTTTAACCGTGCAGACAAAAACAATAGAAAGAGATTGACGTCCTATAGCTCTTCAATATCCGCCATCTTGGCAAGGAGTGTGCCGAAGTTGCGTATTTTGACTTCGATTTAAAGACTAATATTATAATTTTATGAACTGAAAAGTTGATTAGTGATACGGTCCGTTAGAAAAAACTGGATTTAGCTGGGGAAAATGGTATAAAAACTGTTTATGAACTTAAGAGCAGATGGAAGTCAATGGCCGCCATCTTGGCTTCATTTTTCTCAGGCCGAACCACTGGAGTAAATCCATTTACCGAGTCAAATCCGAGTCCGAGTCAGTCCCGAGTCTGAGTCAAACGGCCGAGTTGCGTAAAAAAAAAAGACGAAAGTGAAGAAAATTCACAGTCGAATAGGGTTAGGTGTAAGTTTAGGGTTGAGTGCTAACTCATTTTACCGGCAAAGACAGTCAAACAGTGACTCGGACATTTGACTCGAACTCAGATTTGAGTCGGTCAGTAACCGACAAACTCCGAAATTGAATAAAATTGACAGTTGAATAGGGTTAGGGTAAGTTAGGAGTGGGATTATGGTTAGGATTAGGGTACTAAGTCATTGAACTGCAAAGACCATCGATTAAACAATGACTCGGACATTTGACTCGGGCTCAGATTTGTCTCGGACTCGGATTTGACTCGGTTAACAGACAAACTCCGAAGTCCGAACCACTGAAGTTCTTGCTCCAGATAAACAGGGTGTCTCAAAAAAAACGCTACGGAAATTAAACAGGCTGTCGTGCATCATAAACATGGCTAAACAATTCAATGTTTACATAGGACGAAAGAACAGTTATTTAGCTTTGCAATGATACTCTTTTTAAGTCGTAACGATGAGAAATGGCCACATACTCGTCAAATAAAAATTGCCTGTCGAAATCACATTCTTCCACCGTTGGGAATTGCGTGAAAAACGAACCATAAACAATTCCCAAGAGGGAATTAAAATTGAATGTTAAATTATCTAAAATAAGCTCAACTCGTCAATCTTCGTCTTAGTGAGACAATAACTCAATATGAATTTGGTACGAAACCAGTGGCGTAGCCAGCGGTCCCGCTATCCCGCCGGGCGGGACTAACAATTTCCAAAAATGAGTAAATGTTTTATAGTGAAGCCAAATCACAGCTTTGCTTATTCTGAAAATTTAAATATTAATTATGATCATTTTCAGTGCTTTCATTTGTCATTTATTTAAAGTTTACGCAATATTTCTGTCTGCTCTTTGACCTCTTTGTTGTCTAGCAAATGATACCCTGCAGAATTAGCTAATTTCCATGCAATTTGTTGCTTACTTGCGCAATTCGTGAATCGCATGTCTTGTGTTCCGCTGATTTTCTAGCCTGCGTGGCAGGCTCTCTGGGTTTGGGGGAAGCCCCCCCCCCAAAAAAATAATTTTTCTCCCCCAAACCCAGAGAGCCTGCCACGCAGGCTACTGACTTTCATGTGGCGGTGTCACAGTGATTTCGGTTCCCCCGTGAAATCGGTTCCCCCTCGGATAAAATTCCTCCATTATAACCGGAACTTTATGCCTATCACAGTACAGGCAGGCGGCAGAATTTCCCTTGATGTCCAACATGGCGACCGTCGAGAGAGTGATCGGCCCGGTATTTGATATATAAAATCATTATTTTGAATTTGTTTACTGAAAATTTTCAAAAATTAGGAAATTGAATTAGTCAGTTTTGTTCCTTATGGTAATTTTTTGTCTTTATACCTGGAAATACACCTCATTTTACAGACACGAAATTGACATCAAGACCCATGTTAATACTGTATTTATAATATATACTAGTTTCAATCAGTTTTGTTTGAAATGATACGAAATACTTATGTAAAGTCTAAAATCTATATCATTGTTTAGTTAGATTTTCATTAATGACTGCAAATTTGGAAAAAAGTCCCGCGCTTATTTTTATCAAAACCATTGAACTATATTGTATATAAAATATAGTTCAATGATCAAAACAAGGGAAATTCTGCCGGTACTGCGATAGGCATTAAGTTCCGGTTATAATAGAGGAATTTTATTCGAGGGGGAACCGATGTCACCGATTTCACGGGGGAACCGAAATCACTGTGACAGCGGAATATGCAATACTATCTTATACAATAAATTCTGGTTTCTAGTTGGATAATTGGGGCAGCGCATGCCCAGAAAGGTTGTTTTTAATGCCGAAGTCCCGCTATTTATGAAGGTGGAGGTTGTTAATATTCAAACCTTTCTGACGAAGCTTTCTGCGCGAGTATTCACGACTGTGACGCTGGTAGGTCATTATCCATATCATATTTGATATTGCTTTTGTGATTTGTATACAATGGCTTCAACGAGCGTGACGAACCTTATGGAAAGCCATAGCGGAATTTCATTTCATTCGGTGTTTTTAGCATTATATATGTGGTGCTTTTATCTATATGCGAGGTGCTCTCTACATTATACGCGGTGCTTCGAGTTTGAGCATTATACGCGATGATTTTGACATTATATATTGGCTACACGCAACATTATCCAAATAGTTGCTTTTAACATTATATACGCGGTGCTTGAGACATTTCATAATATACGCGGTGCTTGAGACATTATACGCGGTACCTTGAGCATTGACTGTACGCAGTGGTTTTATCATTATACGCAGTGTTGTAACTACTTGCTGTGATTTCAACATCATATCGGTGCGTCAGTGCGTGAGACATTATACAAGGTGCAGTGTTTAATTATTCGTTGTGCTGCAGACTCAGTGCAGAGGGAAATATTTTTGCCTAACACAGCACTTCTCTGAGCTCACACTGTAGATCTTCTCTGAGGCGTCTGAGCCAGATGGCATTTTTTGTATTTTACGAAGGGAAAATACTCCTGTTAGAGGTGTATGGAAACTTTGTTTAGTGACATCCTTCCACCCTCGAAATCGCAGAAAATGCCATTTCCGAGGTTCTAGATTTCAAATTTTCTCGGGGGGAAGGGGGGTGCATGACCCCGAACCCCTCCAGAAAGGTCGCACCTTCGGTGCGAGGGGCCCGACTTCGGCGGGACGACTTTTTTAAGCCAGCTACGCCACTGTAATAACGAAACATGGTTCAATTAACCCCTGAACAGAGAACATTCGCTATCAAAACGTTTTTGAAACAAATAGCTAGCAGCAGGCTTGCGTTGCTTTTGGATTGACTAACTTTGCATAATTAATGTATTTTCAATTCCCAACGGTGGAAGAATGTGATTTCGACCGGATATTTTTATTTGACAAGTGTGTAGCCATTTCTCATCGTTGCGACTCTTTCTTCCTATGTAAAATTCGAACTGTTTAGCTACGTTTATGACGCACAACAGCCTGTTGAATTTCCGGTAGCGTTTTTTTTAGACACCCTGTATAGAGATACCTCACTGGGTTTAGCGTATTCGAAGAATCGCGTCTGCAGCCATCTTTATGTTTTGGAACAGCCAGGACAAGTCACATCGTAGATAACATTAGATATAATACAGTGCAACACATCGCGCAATCTAATCGATGCCGATCCCTGTTGCTACTAAACTAATTAGTTGATTTATTTTCGTCTGTATCCACAGTAATTGGTGTAAACTGTTGTGGTGTCCCCGCCTCTTGTTATTTCTCGTGTATATGAATCGTTGTACTTGTATTGTGTACGTTTTTTTGTCAAGGCGAAGCTAAATAAAGAAAATAAATAAATAAATAAATGTTACCTACATTCTTGTATAGATATCCACGTCTGTGGATTTATCCGCTGAAGGAATTTCCCTTGTCCTTTCCGGGCGGAGCTACAATGCTGAACTCCAGTCAGACGTCCCAGTTTCTGACAATCATAGTGTCATCATCTTCACTTTGGACGAAAGTCATTTGGTTTCTGATAATAATGATTTGACGGAGTTTCAGTTTCAATCTTTGCTATCCAATATCAGTTCACTTGAATTGAAAGTCCAATCGGAAATAGTGATCAGAGAGATCGCGCTTCAATCTGCGGTGCATGATGTGACAAGCGATGTCCACGATCAGATCAGTTTTGTGGAGAATATGACCTGTTTTGAAAACTACACTGGTTTTTCTTGTGAAGCTTGTGCTCAAGGTAGGAATTTTAGTTCGTTCCGTGTCAATTAATATAAGGCCTTTTGGGCATCTCATTGGATTGAACTAATGATCTCAAACTGATTAATAATTCATGAGTAAATTATCCAACCATATATATATATATATATATATATATATATATATATATATATATATATATATATATATATATATATATATATATATATATATATATATATATATATTACTTCATTTTTCTCATATGATAATACTGAACACCTGATGACGTACATTAGCCATTTCAAAGTTGATGAGTGGACTGAGGGCGAGTGTTAAAAAGTGCCAACATTAAGAAATGAACAAATCATCTGAAAAGACCACCTCAAAATTAGTACATGTAAGTGTACAAAGTTTGAAGACGTTTACATGAATACCTTTAATTCGAAGGGTATTCGTGTAAATGTCTTCAAACTTTGTATACCTACTAATTTTGAGGTGCTCTTTTTAGTGATTTGGTTCAATTCTTAATTTGGGCACTTTTTAACACTCGTTCCCAGTCCACGCATCAACTTCGGAATGGCTAATTGACCACTTGCGTAATAGACTAAATTTTGATCTCTACAAAAATTTCATCACAGCTTGAAAGAGCATAACCCCAAACCCTTTGAGGCTGTCGATTTCCCGTTTGTAATCTAAAATGACTGAAAGTTGCAAACTTCGCAAGGCTATATTTTCCGCATTTTACAACATTTCGCAACGAAACTTTGGAATATTACTAATTTTGTGACGCTGTTTCATGCTATGATGAAATTTTTGTCTAGACTTGTCTAGATCAAAATTTAGTCTATACGCAAATGGTCAAATTGATCCGGCCAGTTCTAGGATTAGTCCTAGTACATTGATTCAGCCCTTGAGCTGGATCAAAATTAATTAAGTAGTGATTTATTCGTATGAGATGTCATTTCAAATCCTCCAATTCGGACTGGACTAGATTTCAAATCCTCGCATTTTGATCAAGTCCGAGGCACAGAATAGGAAGGTATAGCAGAAGTGTAACTCAAGCAAGTATTTGACCGCGTTTTTACAAGCAATTCGTCATCAATCACGCCATCCTGGCTAGTACAACCGGCACTTTGTACCCATCAAAACCTGATAAAAACTTCCGGTTGTACTAGCCAGGATGGCGTGAGCGAGTTAAAATGTTCGTGGACGTAAAACAATAAAGGAACCGACTCAAGTTACACTTCTGCGATACCTTCCTATTATGTGTCCGAGGCGAACCCGATTTGAAATATATATTACATGAACGATTTTGCAGATGGAAATTTCGAGTGTTAAGCCGGTTTTCCACTAGGCGGAATTTTGCGCGCGGAGCGGAATTTTTCTTTGTCTTGTGATTTCTCGGGTTGGAACTAATTAGAAAAGACAAAGAAAGATTCCGCTCCGCGCGCAAAATTCCGCCAAGTGGACTAAAACCGGCTTAATAAACCTTTTTAAAAAGTCTGCCTTGTGAGTAGTTTGCGGATAAATAAGATCACTGGCCAATCAGGAAAGCCAAGTGGCTGTGCGGCGTTTTCCTTTATCCGCAAACTACGTCAGAAAACAGACTTATATATAGGTCTATTTTATACATTTATTGAGACCTAACCAGGTGCAACTGCGAAAAATGCAACTTTCGACCCTCTTGTACGATTCGAACCTGCACTTGATATTTAATTTTCATGATAAATATTAATAATCCCGGGGTGAGGGTACTATTTCCGAGTTCAATGGTATAGCTATGGTTCACCGTTCATGGGTGGTCATCCTCACTGATTTCAAATATACCGAGGGAACTAATTCCGATCGAGTTGGGCTTAGCAAAAAAAAGTTTTTCATATTGCATAGCTTTACATTCAGATGTATCTCGCTGTTTTACGGTATATTTTTTGAAGAGGTACAAAGCGCTTTTTTCGATTTTAACTCAAAACAAGCCTGCAATTTCATGAATTAGTGGTTGTGGAACCAAAGCCGAATTTTGGTGGAAATAGTGGGGGACGTGGAAAAATTTGGGAGGACATCCTGTATAGGATTTCAATAATGCATATATTTCTTCCAACTGACTGATTCCTAATTTCCTAAGTACCAACAAGTGGTTTCGTAGCAACGATGTGCATTGATGTGGCAAAAATCTAATCTAATCTAAATGATGTTCATAAATTACAGAAGAACGGTATAATTCAATTTTCATTTTATCACAACTAATTTCTATTTCTCTCTGTATGCACTCAGTAGAGAAAGTCTACTCGTTGTCCGTATATAGGCTTGTTGCATTAACTAAGCTCTATAGGATTTAAATAATTGTTATGATATTTCTTCCAACTGACTGATTCCTAAATACCTACAAATTTTTATGCAAATATAAATAAAAACCCGTGCTTTCCTAGCAACGATGTGCATTGATGTAGCAAAAATCGAATCTAAAAGATGTTCATAAAATACAGAAGAATGGTATAACTCAATTTTCATTTTGTTACAACTAATTTTTATTTCTCTTAATTACGTTCGACAACATTTTATTTAGCTGTTTAAATTAATTGGTGTCTATTATATGTTATACTCAGGGTGCGATAATTCAATATTTTTAGCCGTACCTGACTGGTACTCTGACAACTTTTGCCGCGTACATGATCTGGTACAAACTTAAGAGTCAAGACGTACCTAAGACTACTTCCGAGTCATGCATTTTTATACATACGTATAGTTTACTGGTCCAAAAGCAAAAAATGTATGGACAATTTTGTACAAATGAATCTTTAATTATGGTATTTGTACAACATAATATAACAGTTTTCAATGCGTCGACGTTGTGACTCGAATGCCATCGCTCATTTATCGTGGATTTACCGAGGGTGCAAACAGTCTGACTTCAGCGCTACATGCATACAGTGTAGTTTTCCTCATTGGGGCGAAAAAACCCTGTTTGTTTCCGGTTTCATATCGCGAAAAAATTAGGGTAGGTGGGTCGGAAATAAAAATGTTTTTTGAATATTTTTTTCATTGTTTTGGCGGTTTTTTGCTGGGGATTTTCAGTGGAGTCCCGACATCAATATTAAGTAGAGATGCGTAGTTCCTGCGGACGAATTTAGGCAATTTGGTTCAATAATTATTGTGACAAGTGACAACAGACGCCATTTTGGCACGCTGTACGAGCAGCCCGCAACCACCCGGGGAAAATAGGGTCGCACGGTCAATCGTGTTGAAAAAAATTAGGTGAGACTAAGGTGGACAGAAAAAAATAGGGTCGGACGGGAAACCGGTACCGCAGATATTTTTTTAAGCCGTGGTATAGCATTGACAATTAAGCCCAGATCACCCCACAAAACGATAACGATACGATAACTTGTAAACACGCGATGATTGGTAAAAAATTATGTTGGTATCCACACTACAACAAAACGATAAAATTATCGGACGATGACGATAAATTTTTTGATCAAACGCAAAGATAACCTGTTGGCTTTTTTCATCCCAAAATATGTCGGATGCCGTGGAATTTACATGTACAGCTAAAGTTCTTCACGGTTTTGAATACTTTGGCAGGTCTGCTAGTTATTGCTAGAAGGAAAATGTAAGTACGCGAATAGCAAATTTCGGCGTACCTACCTGGTACTTGCCTAAAAACAAAGAAGTACCAGACCATAAATTTGGCGTACCTCCCGTACGTTGGTACGCGAATTATCGCACCCTGTATACTCGTATATTACCGGGGTTTTTGTTTCATGTAGACGATGTATAGTCTATCGTTTCAAAACACGGAAAATGTATATCAGATCAAATATGCAAACATTAATGAAATTATTTATAAATATGATAATACCAGTATCTGAAAATTGGAACCGTCGTATCTAACTACTCCATGTCCTTTTTCTTGGTATGAATTTTACTAAGACAGGTCGGTCTGGTTTCATTAACCAACCCTTTATGTCCTTGTTCACTGTAGTATCTCCTGCGTATTCCAAATGGAAACTTAGTATGAGTTTGCTTACCAAAGTATAGATCATTGACTCGGCCAATCTTCGACCTAAGCACATTCTTACTCCATAACCGAACGGTAATGAAGTAAACGGATTTAGGTCGTTTTTCTTTCCCATTTCGTCACGCAGCCACCGCTCTGGCACAAACTGCTTCGCGTCTTCCCCGTAATAGCGCTGATCAACTGACAGTAAATGTTCGTGCAATAAAACATTTACACCAGCTGGGATACGATAGCCAAGAACATCGAGATCCTTATCAAATACCCGAGCAACCACAAACGCTCCGGCAAGATTCATGCGACCTGACTCTTTCAGAGTTGCTTTGATGAACGATAAACGTTGAATGTTTGTTTTTGATACTTCCCCGTCAGGGCCAAGGACAGATACCATCTCCTGCCTCCTGGTAGAGTTTCTCCTGCACTTCTGGGTGCCGAGACAGTTCGTAAAGCAGCCAAAGACACGTTGTACTGGTCGCATGGGTACCAGCTGCCATCAATCCAGTAAGATACAGTGCCATACTCTTCGGTGTAACATTTTCGTTGGCAGACAGATATTCGAAAAACGTCTCTGTCTAACTATGGCTTTGCTGTTCTTGTCTCTTTGCCAACTCTTTATTGATAATGTCCATACCAGTGGCAATATTTGTAAGAAAACTTCTCCTTAACGCGTAATACGCCGGGATTTTGATGTACTTGTAAAGAGGAGCAGTGAACGAGAGTGTTCCAATATTTTCCACTTATACCCTAGTTGGCAGACTCGACATACGCGACTGCGTCCGGATTTTGAGGATGGTCGTCGAACCCAAGGCGCTTGTTGAACATTGCCTCAACAGTGCAGTATGGTAACTCCTCCTCAAGGTTACTTATCGTCTCGTCACGCTCCGAAAGTCGCTGCATTCGCTTCACAAAATCATCTGCTACAGTATTTAATATAGGCAATGTTTCATGAACGACTTTAGGACGCATCAGCTTCGGCGACAGCAGCGATTTCTGACGATACTATTTTTCATAATCGTTCGAGGCAATGCTAATACCTGCACCGGGATTAATTTCGTCCCCAACGTCTTCTAGGGCTTCGAAGCCCGGTCGCATTTGAAAAGATTTTTCGGTTCGTAAAACTTTTATTGTGGCTTCTACATCCGAAATATTCACAATTTGTGTGCCAAGTATTTTCTCACTGTAAATTGGACCATATCTTTTGAAACGTTCCGTTGCGACGTCAAAGAACGAGCCCTTCGTATACGCATAATCCAAGATATTTCGAATGCTACCTTTTAGGCCTGGCATTGCTGAGAATGGGAGCACATTGGTGTCGTTTGGCACCACGACAGTGGACGAACTACGTGCCAATTGCAACATTGCCAGTGACCAAGACGATCTGAGGAATCGTTGAAGGAAACGAGAACGTATGAAGGAACAAGACAGCAACATCATTATTAATCTGTATAAAAAGTTCTTCGATGAGTTTGTCAAGATCGATGCTTTAAACGTTAATGCAATACACATGAATTATTCCAGTTTGTATGCAGTGACGTATATATATTTAAATCTAAAGTGTTTAATCTTTAAGTTAGAGTTAAACACCGAGGGCGGAGGTATTTAGTCATAGTCGTGTTACCATGACAACTACTTTAGATGAATTGAATTTGAATTGATTTAATAACTACTGACTTTGTAACCCAAAAAGGTTAAATTACACCAGTATTACATAAATTAAGAGGATAAGTTAAAATTACATAATAATTACATATTTAAGATTATTTACATTTCTAAAAACTTATTTACTGTTAATCTTTAATATACTTTGAGGTAAAAACGAATTCTTAAAACGTTCGGTTCTGCAAACATAATTATGATATTTACATATCGGTCTTAGATCATATCCAGATAAAACTGTTTGTGGTAAAAGATCTTTGAGATTTTCATTGTCAATATTCTTCTCAAAGAAATGTTCGCATAATTTTTCTCGTCGATCTCTCAGTGACGTGATGTTAGTCGTGATCAGCGCTTCGTCGTACTTTTGCGATGGGAGGATTATTCTCAACGCGCGTTTTTGTATTTTTTCAATATCGTCACATAAATATTGTTGGATATTGTAATGCCAGACCTGGCATGCGTACTCTAAAACAGGCCTAATAATGGTAGTATATACAGTAATTAACGTGTCAATACACGCGTTGGACCTTTTTAGCAGTCTTAGCATATAGAGCCTCTTGCTAGCTTTTTTAACTATGTTATTTATATGTTCATTCCACTTCATGTTATCTTGGACTGTGAGGCCAAGGATACGGGCAGATTTCTCTCATGTCAAAACATGAGCAGCCGAATGTTTTAACGTCAGGCTTAAAAAACGACCCATCTATGAGTTCATTGGCGAAGTAATTCAGTTAAAAATAAACGTTGTCTAACCCGAGAAAATCAAAGCTGAAGTTTATGTAAATCAGGACAAATCTCTATCCGATTTACAAACAATGATTAAACATTCATTTCTTTTGTATTTTCCTCATGAATTATTAATGAGTTTTTTAAAGGGAGTATAAAGAAAGTGCACAGTTCTAGAATGTCCATGCACTAAACTAAAAATTTAGACACTCCATATAAAGAACAGGAACCGTTTAGTTAAGGGAGTACGTAATTACACTCCAACCTGAGCCAATCTGTGCCAGGCACGAAGATGACATAAACAAGGGTTAGAGGCGCTAGACTGTAATGAGCGAAACTGAGGAAACCCGCTGAAAATTCCTTCCTCCCCTCGCCTCGCCCGCGTTTTAATTTTCAATCAATCAATCAATCAATCAATCAATCAATCAATCAATCAATCAATCAATCAATCCAAATCTTCAGTACATGGATAATCTAACTATTATAAGCGTAATAAGACAGTTATAAGTCACATACACTCAACAATTATAAAAAAATCTAAAAATTATCTACTACTGGTTTACAAGATTGCCGTGTGGGAGTTCACTTGCATTATTATAATACTTATCTACAGCTTTCTTAAATTGTGGAAATGTTTGAAGCTTTCGTATATCTTGAGGAAGACTGTTCCACAAGTAGGCACCACTATAACAAAAGCTTCGTTTTAAGTAATTTGTTCGTGGCTTTGGCAAATTTAATCTCGTCTCTGTACCCTGTGTCACGAACTGAAAAAAAGTCTTGTAGATATGACGGTATATTCCCTTTGAGAGTCTTAAAGATTAGGCCAGCCTTAAGCTTTTTGCGTCTTAAGCAGTCTACGCCGTTCATGTGTGTCCCATCCTAAGTTGTTGATCATTGGGGAAACATGGCTGTATCTAGAAAAGTCGTTGTTAACAAATCTTGCGGCGCGATGTTGAATAATTAACGATTCGTCGAATTTCCGTCAATTATGCGACGAATACCGACAACTACTTCAACTTAAACGTTAATGTCTCTTGAATAAAAAAAACCCCAGCGGCTTGATGAAATACGAAACGGCACAACAAAATTCGAAACCGCATAATAGAATTGCCAAACAGATTAAGTGCATAATGTAAAGTTGAATATTGGCGGAAATCACCACTCATACGAATCCTGTCAACTATTTCGACTTGAAACGTCAGTGTGTCTTGGATAAAAAGGTTCTACGGAAATTCGACAGGCTGACATCTAAGGCCGCGTTTACGCTATGACGCTACGATTAAGGTAAATTTACCGTAGCCTGCATGTGATTTGCATCCGGAGTGCCAAACGTAGTGGTCCGTAGTTAATACGCTACGGCAACTGAACCACTCCGTTATATACGAAGAAACGTAGTGAATTTTTAACAAAATGTAGAGTGGAAAATGTATAGTAGTGGTCCGTAAAGTTTGTTCGTTCACTGCAACCAGGTATATCAATCATGTTTCGCTCGCTACTCTGGTTTAAACAAGTACGATCGTACTATAGTGGACCAGGAACTGCGTGACCCAGTTTCGATCTTGTGCAAATCGTGTTCTCGAAGTTTGCAACGTAGACTGAGTTCGCTAAATGTTTTGCTTTAATTTGGTCATGCAAGATGCACTTTATCCGGGCAAAATGTGTCTAGTGCCGTGTGTATATAGCCTAAATGAGGTGTAAATCTGGACAAAGCATAGATAACTAAATGCGCAGTTTTCAAAAGTATTTCCTCGCATTTGAATTCGATAGATAAGTTAAATGTCCCACAATATTTAGAATAAACATGCCGTGCCTAAGTCAGCTAACTTTTGGCGTACATCAAATTTTGCCTTGCCGTGCCTGCCATTAACTACAACTTAACTTATTTTGTAGTCTACAAAATAAGTTAAGGTAACAAATTATCTGAATTGTTGCCAGGTTAATGCAATTTCATCTCTCTTAGTCATGGCTTCATAACTGCATGCTTGTGCTAAAAACAAATTTTCATGTCTTTGTTTTTACGGTTCACGATTTTCTATCGGACTATTATCATTTATAGACCCGGAGCGAGGGGGATTCGGCGAAATATTTCCCGAAGTGATGATATTTCCCGAGGGCGAAGGGAAATATCATCACTTCGGGAAATATTTGGCCGAATCCCCCGAGCGGAGGGTCTATAAATGATATATTATACCGAAAATTAAAAGCCTCCAAGTTGAGAAATAAAAACTTGACACATACCTTCGTGAATACGATGTTTTAGTTTCGGATTAACGCAAGTATCGTCGCTTTTCTTTCGAATCACATATCGTTTGGAATATTAATGACAACATTTTTCAAAATTTACTTCAAAATTTTGAAAAAGCCCCAGGTTTTACAGTCATTTACCCAGATTATTCATCACTCATCAATACTATTTATACTTTGTCGGCCATGTTGTTGTCATGCGTGTTGTCTCGCGTGGTCTACGCGAATCATATTCACCGGTGAATTTGACTCATATTCACCGGTGAATATGACTGAAATTTCCTGCTGCACCAAATACGAATGACGTAAGCGCGATACGATGATAAATTTCATGCTCACGTGGTACAAATCTAGCTTCCTGATTGGACAATTTAAATTTGAGGTATAATATATTATTTTATTAAACATATTCTTATGTGCATTTATTTATTAATTTTCATTACAAATTAGATTTATTCAACATTTAAAAAGTTTAATTTAAAAATATATACAATATTATTATATTACTATTACCAGGCCATCAATAAGTATTCTTGCTTTCATACCCATGTTTTATTTTGTTAATTCCATAAGGGTATTCTCGGGTTGTCCCAAATGATACAAGTGAAACACGCACACAGCTATCGCTAAATAAAAGAGTACTTGATGTCATATTTACTTCAATATATTTTATTGAAGCTATGCTGGATATAATTAGCTGATATTTCCAGTGGTGGCACCAGCAGTGGGGACATCCCCCCCTAAAATATTTTTCAAACCAAGAATATTTATTAATGGCCTAATAAATAAATTAAAATTAACACACAACACTCACACAACATTCACACATTATAACATACACAAAGTTACTTAGTGAATTTAATATCATGGCAATTGTGCCAATTATGTTGTTCTTGAACAACTGTCTGAGTGGGTTTTTGCTCTATTTGGGCACACAATTTTTGTATGCCCTCTTTTAAAACACATCCAGCATACCATTCCTAGTAAATGTACAATAAATTTTAATATAGAGGGGCCACAAAAAATTTTTGACCAGTGAAGGGGGGGGGGGCAGAAAATATTTTGAACATAAAGGGGGGGGCAAAAAATGAAATCTATAGTTTGTAACATGCAATATCAAAAGAGTGATGGATATATACAGTATACATACATTGAACAGTAATGCCCAATATATTGAACCTAAAA